ATTACTTTATTTTCCAGATCACCAGACTGGGCCACAGAAAAGCGTGGCAGGAAATGGCTAGTTAATAAATAGATAAAGTCTTTATTTTTTTAAAAAAAAAAACTACAATTCCCAGCGTGCTTTGCTTCCGCGGGGTGGCTTCTTCCTGGTTTAACATTCTAAAGTGGGCGTGATTTTGATTGGACGCGTCACCTCCCAAGTGGGCGGAGCCAGCCAAACGCTGGAGGAAAGGAAGGGTGGCTCCGTCCTGATTTCACATTCGAAAGTGGGCGTGGTTTTAATTGTGACGCGGCGCGCTTAAGTGGGCGGAGCCAAGCCCTGGAAGAAAAGGAAGGAGGCGAATGCGTCGCAATCGAGCGGTTGTGTTTGGGGCGGCGGCAGAGGAGATCAGGAGGAGATCCAGCTCTGGGGTTCACGCAGGTGAGGATCTCGGCTTCCTTCCAGTGATATGGAGAGGGGCAAAGCTGTGGGGCAGCTGGGAGAGGGGAAATAATCTGATTTTGGAGCCAGTGGGTGCGCAGAGCCTCTCAGGAAACTGTTGCTTCCTTTGGGTCACAATTCTGAAGGGATTCCCCCCCCCCCTAATCTTTGGAGGCATGACTCAGTGGGGTGAGGAATATGCCCCCTCTTTGTGTTTTGCCATTGAGAGGACAATTGGAGTGTATGCCAAAGGGAGAATGTTTTGGGGGGATAGGATGGAGGGAGGAGGTCCAAACCGATTTTCCTTTCGCAAATTAAGAAACCAAAAGGAGAAGAGGAACTTCTGTGGCCAGGAGCTTCTTTCCCAACAGGTTGGTGGCTTTGAGAGAGAAGTGACTCAGCTGAACTGGGAAGAAAGGAAGAATGTGTGGAGAGGAGAGTGACTAAAATGATCAGGGGTCTGGAGAACAAGCCCTATGAGGAGCGGCTTAAAGAGCTTAGCCTGAAGAAGAGAAGGCTGAGAGGAGGCATGATGAGGGCCATGTATAAATATGTGAGGGGAAGTCATAGGGAGGAGGGAGCAAGCTTGTTTTCTGGACTAGGACGTGGAGCAATGGCTTCAAGCCCCAGGGGAGTGGCGGCATATAAGTTCAAATAATAAATAAATAAACTACAAGAAAGGAGATTCCATCTGAACATTAGGAAGAACTTCCTGACTGTGAGAGCCGTTCAGCAGTGGAACTCTCTGCCCCGGAGTGTGGTGGAGGCTCCTTCTTTGGAAGCTTTTAAACAGAGGCTGGATGGCCATCTGTCAGGGGTGATTTGAATGCAATATTCCTGCTTCTTGGCAGGGGGTTGGACTGGATGGCCCATGAAGTCTTGTCACGTTGCCAGGGCTCTGCCTTATTTAGGTAGAGATTAATCAGTAAATAAGAAAGGAGATTTCATCTGAATATGAGGAAGAACTTCCTGACTGTGAGAGCCGTTCAGCAGTGGAACTCTCTGCCC